CACTGCCTGCACACGCTCAGCCAATCACAGTGCTCAGGCAAGCTCATGGGTGGAGCCTGAGGACCCCACTGCCTGCACACGCTCAGCCAATCACAATGCTCAGCCGAGCTCATGGGTGGAGACTGAGGACCCCACTCGCTGTACACACACTGTGCACAGTGGAGAGCGAGACTTGAGTCTCACCACCATCCAGTGCTAAAGTCGTGTCTTACAAGGATGCAGATGTATAGGGAAAGTTTTCTTTTTTGAGTGGAGCTCAGTATCACTCCACGCAGGCTGCTGTTTCAGTCTGGTGACAGTCTCAGGCCTGTTCCTCCTGCGCCACTGAGATTGGGCTTCCCTGTCCTGGCTGGGCAGCACAGGAGATCCGATCGGAGAGGGAGGGCTATGCTGGGGCTAAGCCCAAGGGGCTGTTCTGTTTCCTTCACGTTTCTTAAAAAATATATTGTCATCGTGTGAGAGACATAGCAGTGGTTAAAGAGGGAAATTATTATTTTTCTAAAGCGCTCATCTTTTGGAGAGAGGGCCTGTCTTTGTTTAGATAAGAGTGAGCTCTTTTTACCCTGCTGTGAAGCACGGCCATGGTAGTGTGCTGACAGCAGTAAGGAGTTAAAGGAGTCACAGCATAACTCCTCAGTCCAGACTCCAATCTACACAAACACCTGCCACTGTCCTTGTGTCTGTCTCTGTGTACACTCTTGTTCTTGTGTCTGTGTGTCTCTCTCTGTACAAACTTCTGCCACTGTCCCTGTGTCTCTGCAGAAACTCCCGTCACTGTCCCCGTGTCTCTCTGCAGAAACTCCTGCCACTGTCCCTGTGTGTGTCTCTGTACAAACTCCTGCCACTGTCCCTGTGTCTCTGCAGAAACTCCTACCACTGTCCCTGTGTCTCTGCAGAAACTCCTGCCACTGTCCCTGTGTCTCTTTTTCCTTCATTTTCTCAGACACCTGTTTCTCTTGTTCTCTCTTGAACTACCTCCTTCACTTAATCCTTTCCTTTATTCCACACGTCTGGTCATCTGTCTAGAAAAGTCCATTCTTGTCCGGTGTCTGCCACAATTCTGTTATCTCCAGCACACGAGTGTTGCTGTAATAACTCTTAAACCTTCCTTTAAAAATCAGAATCAGAATGATGAAGTACCAAAAAGGGTTTCTAGCTGTGTACTGGACCCAGCCTTGTACTCCACCCCTGCTAGACCTGCTTTTCATACAAACTGAATGGACTCTTAGTTAATTAAAGAATATTTTTAAAACCAGGTGCTTGGTGTGAGTCTCAGTGCTGTGTGTGTTTGAGAAGGGTTAACAGTCCTGAGCTCTTGTGTGGTTTCTGTGTTACTGTCCTCTGGTAGGACTGATCCACAGACCAGCCGACGCACTGTGAAAATGACATCATGTTGACAGACGCACAGTAGTGAGTGAATGAGACTCAGCTGGATAAACGGACTGGCACACTGATAAAGTCAGGCACTGTCTGATGATCTGACTAACGCCTGTGACTGACACACGGACTGACTGTTTCTCCCGTGAGTCTGACCCACAGACTGTCTCTCCTGTGACTCTTGACACACAGATTGACTGTCTCTCCTGTGACTCTTGACACACAGATTGCCTCTCCTGTGACTGACACACAGATTGACTGTCTCTCCTTTGACTCTGACCCACAGACTGCCTCTCCTGTGACTGACACACGGACTGACTGTTTCTTCTGTGACTCTGACACACAGACTCTCCCATAGACTGTCTCTCCTGTGACTCTTGACACACAGACTGTCTCTCCTGTGACTCTTGACACACAGACTGTCTCTCCTGTGACTCTGACCCACTGACTGACTCTCCTGTGAGTCTGACCCACAGATTGTCTCTCCTGTGACTCTGACCCACAGATAATGAATTCTGATAAGGAATCCTTCTGGATAGCATCTGTCATCCCAGAGGATCCCAATGGGACCTGTTTATTTCAGTCTTAAAGACTACCCCCCACCTGAGAGAGACACAGGGGCCATTCTGCCCCAGCATGTCGGGAAGGAGAGAGGAACTGCTTCCTGGTTGAATCAAGGAGAACTTGAGAGAGGCCTGATGGTAAAAACCCAGAGTTGAATTGACCTACGGAGCAGCCAGAACTTCATTTTAAAATTTCTTCAGAAGATACGGCACCTCCTGCAGCACGGTGCGTGTGGTCACCACTGGTTTTGAAACTATGGTCCCCAGGAGGAGAAGCGCCACCTACTGGCCACCAACACTACTTACAATACAACCCCTTCCCTCAGCGCACTTCAAATCAGAAATCAAAGCTCACCTTTCACACATCACATCACTTCACTTTATTAGCCCTATATAATTTCCTGTATTAGGAATTTGTCTTTTCGCAGACCCCAGCTTGCTCTCCATGAGACACACAGACAAGGAGAGAAGCTGGGGGTCAGGGCGCAGGGTCAGCCATTTATACAGCACCCCTGGAGCAGTTGGGGTTAAGGGCCTTGCTCAGGGGCCCAACGGTGTAGGATTCTTCTGCCGACTGCGGGATTTGAACCAGCAACCTTCCAGCCACAGGCGCAGATCCTGAGCCATAGACCCACCACACCGCCTTTCTGCTGGGGGCCTATGTCTGATTGCCCTACAGTTCATCTTGGTTGTTCTCATTTGGAAGTGAATGTATTGTATTTATGTCTTCTTCTTTATCACGGTGTACAATGTCATTCACTCTCACTGCCCCACCTCCTCTGTCTCAATACAAAAGTGGGTAAAAGTATCAGCTGAAGAAGTTAATAATAGTTCATATTCTATTAAACATTCCTCGCTCTTCCTGTGGTGTCTGAAAGCAGACATCACAGACATCATTCTTTACGGCCTCTTCATGTCTCTGTCTCAGCTGACAAACTGCAGTTACGGGGTCACTGTTTGCAAAGAGTGGGACTTCGCTGGACAAGAACACTGACAACATTAAGTTCCTCAGAGACCCACTGTTTTTACCTTGTGTATGTACAGTTCAGGGTATAGGCGTAGATATATACATTCCTCAGTACCGAAGCAGGAGAAAGGCTGCATTGTTCCGTGCTATATCATAATAGCGTCTTCAGACAACGCAGGCGTGTAGGGGGGAAAAGGATTTCAGCTGCTTCATGGCGGCCAGATAGGCGTGCTGGCGGAGCCTCGTTCTGATTTCAAGATGGCGGGCGTTGTGGGAGCGCCCCGCTGACAGTTTAGGAAGCCCCGCGCACTCTCGCGAGCCCTGTGTCTCTCCTGCTCGCTGGTGTAAGATGGCGGAGGCGAATTAAGCCGCAGCCCCAGGTAACCGATTAGATTTGCTCTTGTGTCGGCGGACGGGGGGCTGAAGGTTTCGGGAGCGGGGGAAGTGGGACCCAGAAATCCCGGGAACGCAGGGTGAGGGGCGCCGGGGGTCTGTGTTGGACGGTGACCGCGGAAAGCAGAGGTTTTTCCCTCTCTGGGTCCGGGCAGACTGCTGTGTGAACCGCCATTTTTAATTTGCAATCTCTGAGTGAAAAGTAGTTTAGAATCGGAGGGGGGCTGAGGAGGCGGAGGGGGGAGGTTGGGTCGAGCGCTGTGTGTGTTTGTGTGTGTGTGGGGGGGTGTTAGGGTTAAGCGGGGTTATACCGGAGGGCCGAGCCGGGGGACCGGGGAGAGGCAGCGGCAGAGGGAGAGATTGCGGGTGTGCGAGGAGGATGACAGGTCAGTGACAATGGCAGCAGCGCAGGGGGGCGGCGGGTTTGGGGGGTACAGGAGGAGAGAGAGGGGGTACCCCTTCAGGTCGGGACGCTGCTGCGAGTGCGAATGGCGGTGGAGGAAGAAGAGGAGGAGGAGGAGGAGGGGTACAGGAGAGATTAAAATATTGGGGAGTCACACCTAGGAGAAAAGACGAGGAGAGAGGGGGGAGGAGGAGGTGAGGTTTCGGTGGGCCGTGTTGGGTTGAGCTCTGGCGTCTGTCCGCACGCTGTTTCATGTGTTTTTTTTTTAGAACAGAAAAAAAAAACCCCAAGTACCTGTCCTCTCCACACCGGGCGCAAACCGGCCAGTCATCGGCCGGCCGGTGCGCCGGCTTCTCCCGTGTCGAGCCCGGCCGAGGCGACATTTTTGTTGTTGTTGATTTTTTTTGTTGTTTTTGAACGTGTTTCTGCGCTGCGGCCGGCCGGGTTTTCAGTGGCGGACTGGACAGGACTGGCCCGGCCCGGGCCGCCGTGACTC